CTCCGGCAAGAAGGAACTGGAGTGGTCGGGTCGGCAGGGATATATATACCCTGGAGCGGGGCGCCGCTCTGGCGGGAAGGAGGGGGCCCTGCCGGCCCGAAGGGAGCCGCTAAGGGAAAAAGTTTCCGACGTCCGTGCACGCAGCGCGCGTACACCTAATGTGTAATGGACGTGAACAACACATCTCGAAGAACAACAGTTACAGAAGGTAAGTAACCGTTCTTCCCCTGCTCTGTTTTACCTGCCTTCTGCCATATATTTCATGTTATAGCAGTCTCAGATGATGGCTCAGCATATGTTCATTTTAAGAACACTTTCGCTGCAGATTTGACAAAACACAAAAGGTAGCAATGTGAGATTTCTAAAGATAGCTACAGCACTCGACCCAAGGTTTAAGAATCTGAAGTGCCTTCCAAAAATCTAAGAGGGATGAGGTGTGGAGCATGTTTTCAGAAGTCTTAAAAGTGCAACACTCTGATGCGGAAACTACAGAACCCGAACCACCAAAAAAGAAAATCAACCTTCTGCAGGTGGCATCTGACTCAGATGATGAAAATGAACATGTGTCGGTCGGCACTGCTTTGGATTCTTATCGAGCAGAATCCATCATCAGCATGGACACGTCCCCTGGTATGGTGGTTGAAGCATGAAGGGACATACAAATCTTTACTGCATCTGGCACATAACTATCTTGCAATGCTGGCTACGACAGTGTCATGCAAATGCCTGTTCTCACGTTCAGGTGACATTGTAAACAAGAAGCAGATAGCATTATCTCCTGCAAATGTAAACAAACTTGTTTGTCTGAGCAATTGGCTGAACAAAAAGTAGGACTGAGTGGACTTGCAGGCTCTAAAGTTTTACATTGTTTTATTTTTGAATGCAGTTTTTTTGTACATAATTCTACATTTGTAAGTTCAACTTTCATGATAAAGAGATTGCACTACAGTATTTGTATTGGGTGAATTGAAAAATACTATTTCTTTTGTTTTTTACAGTGCAAATATTTGTAATAAAAATATAAAGTGAGCACTGTACATTTTGTGTTGTAATTGAAATCAGTATATTTGAAAATGTAGAAAACATCCAAAAATATTTAAATAAATGGTAATCTATTATTGTTTAACAGTGTGATTAATCATGCAATTAATCACAATTACTTTTTTAAATCTCTTGACAGCCCTATTCGAGTCTTAATTTCTTTTATTATTATTAATGAAAGCAGAGAGTCTCCCACAGTCCCATGACTCCAGGAGCTGGGGCTTTAAGAAAAACACCAACTATTGCAAAGGTTGGCAACACTCTTCCTGACCAGGGCAGAGAGGCACATCTCCCTTATTGGCTAGGTATCAATACAAATAATAAGGCAATGGAGAATTCTGGCTGCACCCCACAGTGCCCTGATCTGAAACTGAATGTGACCCTTCCCCATGAGTGGTAGAGGGCTGTTCCCTGCCTGTAACTCTGAGTCTCACACCCCCACACTCCACAACTTCTCTCCAGTGCTTGAACTTCAAAATGTTTAAGTCCTATTGTGACTCTAGCCCATAGGCTCTCTGAGCCTTGGTTTCCCATCTGTACAATGGGATAACAGCCGTGCCTCACCAGGGTGTTTGTGTTAATTCTCACATTAAAGATGGTGAGTTGCTCAGATATGATGGTAGTGGGGGCTAGGTAAGTGAATCGATGTGAGTGCTGCTGTCTAAATGACTTCCAATACCATTGGCTTTTCAGAACCCGCAGCCGTTGAGGTGTTGGGCAAGGCAACCCCTGATGGGCTCACCAGGCTCTCCTGCAGGGTCTATGGTTTCTACCCCCGGGACATCGCTGTGACCTGGATGAAAAACGGGGAGATGAGAGAGCAAGAGACTCAGCGAGGGGACATCCTACCCAGTGGGGATGGGACCTACCAGATTCAGGCAACCTTGGAGATAGATCCCAAGGAGGGAGGCCGCTACTCCTGCCTTGTGGATCACAACAGCCTGACGAAGCCTCTCAATGTCTTCTGGGGTGAGGAGAGGGCAGAGTGTCTGTCTGGGAGAGGTGGAGGAGAATACACCGAGGGGAGGGGAGGGCTAGGGTTGAGACCCCATTGCCCTTATCGAAAGGTAAAACTCCACTGTCTAACTCTGTAAAAATTCCTCCCCTTTTCTGGGCTGGGACTGGACCTCCTTGGAGTCTTATGTCTTCACTGCCAAAAAAAATTTGTGACGTGTGTTACCACGAGAGAGCCAAAATCCTAGTGGAGACCAGGCACACAGATAGTTTTTACCTCTGAGTGACTAGCTACGTAGAGGTAAAAACAACCCTTGTCTTGTTTCCACAAGGATTTCAGAGCTATCTGCATGTAAAAAACTCTCCTTTTTTGCAGTGAAGACAAGATTTACAGCGTTAACTTGGACTCTTACTGGGGTGTTGCCCCTAACTTGACTCCTGTCCACACACACAAACTTCTGGCCCGAGTTTAGTTGTACTTTAAACCCGGGCTAGCTGGCTCAGCTAGGGGCATCGGCTAAAGCCTGGATGCCACTTTCACTCGGGCTGGTAACCCCCCTCCAATGTCCTCCAATATCTTCCCACAATTCCCCCCCCACCTGCCCTGGGTGCTCCAAAGCTGAACTAAGAACACTTTTGCACAGGGACCCCAGCAGGACAGACCAGTTCTCCCACAATTCACTGGGAAAGAATCGTAGAGCAGGTCAGTTCATTGCTGTGCAAAGAACCATGGGATGTATCCCCAGAGGTCCTAACAACACACACGGGAGTGCAGCACCAGTGTGGACACCGTCGCTTGAGTGTGAGATTGCAGCGTGGCTGCTGTCACCTGGGCGAGGCTAAACTGGGCGCTCAAATCTGGGTGCCAGTCACCTGAGTTAACTCTGCGGTAAAGACATACCCAAGTCACACTTCAGTCCTACCCACAAAGCCATATCCACATTGGAGCTGCGCTACCCTGGATTAGGTGCTAGGTGGGACTGCTGGGGGCATATCCCATGATTCTTAGTGCCGCACTAAGCCGTGATGCTCTATGAATTGTATTGCAGTGAATAGTGGGAGAACGTGTCTGCCCCTCCAGTGCCCCGTGTGGAATGTTCTTAGCCCACCAGGTCAGTCAACTGAAGCTAGCAGCACACTCAGATGAGGATATTCCTGGCGTCACCTCTGTTCCGGTGCTGTGTACAAGCATAGCTGGCAATGTGGGCTGTAAACGCCAAATCGGTGCATACAAACTGGTCGGTGATTTCTGGTGCACAAGAAGGGAGGAGGTGGAAGGGTGGGAAGAAATATGGTCCCAGGGAATTGTAGGAAGACACCAATTAGCACTTGAGTTAAGTAGTCTGGGTTACAGCCTGCATCCACATTGCAAAGTGAGCAGGCTCCAGCCTGGGTTCTGACCCACACCCCAGCCAGATAAGCTAGCCTGGGTTCAAAGTACATCCAGACCCGAGTCAAAGGTTTTTGTGTGTGGACGGTAGGGGGGGTTTGGGCTAAAACCCAGGTAAAGGCCTAGGTTAACTGTGCAGTGAAGACATATGGAAAAACACCACGTTCAGCTGTGTGAACCAATTTCAGAGCGACTTGCAATCTAGTCAGTTTCATCATGTGAGTTCAAAAAGCTTCACTGCCCCAGAACCCCGTTCCTGAACAAGACACTCCCCGCACAGGTGATCTCTCTCACTCGCACAACCCTGAGCCCCACCTCCGTTTGGGGTTTGGGGTTTTTGTGTGTATCATTTTGTTATGTGGGGTTCTGGTGACAAAGTGGTGTCTGAGCTCAAGTCTCCAGCATTCCCCTGCTCAGAATGCAATTGTACCATCGTGTTTGTGTTCATTTGGGAGACTTGGTGTTTAATCCAGTCCCTGATTCATTAGCACTTATCACACTTCTGAGTTTGGGTCTCGTACTCCTTCTCTATCCTCCCCCATCTGCACCTCAGACTCATCCGCCGGGCTCCTGCTTTATGTAGGTCTTCTACCCTGTTCCTACCTTCCCCAGCTAGAGGGCGTGCTTTTAAAGGGACACCATAGGTTCTTCTTCGAGAGATGTCCCTGTGGGTGCTCCACTACAGGTGCTGGTGCGTCCCTGCGCCTTCGTCC